CAATCATAAAATATTTATCTGGGCTCTTACAAAACATTTTACAAATCTAATTCCCTTTTAATACGCAATAATTAAATGAGAACTGATACTCATTAAAAGATCCTTCGCTAGTTCGTGATTTTGAAATAGATATCCCTTTGTGATTGAATATTCTCCAACACAGTCAAGTTATAATATGCTTGACCGCGGATTCTTTTCTATCACAAGGGATACAAAACGAGGATCCTCACCTATTGATAGCAGAGCAGAAAGCGATCGAGGTAGATTTGTCTAGTGAAGACGACCAATCAGAATTTGTTTACTTGCAGTACATCTATTTTCCACTTCGAAACTCTATATTTAGCCTAGATGTTGTACTTTTCTTCTTTAACACACTGTGGTGTGTGTGAATCTATGGATACTACACAGAAAGTAATTCACAAATCGAGCATATTATATATGTGTTATAAGCATACATACTTATACTAATGAATAGTTGATCTCGGAGTGTTTAATACAAAACATAACAATCGCGTTTTTAAATAAAAACGACGGTAGATTGGAGCTACCATTGTCAAATGTTATTGCTTTGTGATGTCTTACTTCAAACAATTGGCTAAGAGTTAGCTACATTTGTCTTCTATACAACTAGAAAGTGTTTTTACTCGTAAAACAGATGTGTCTTGTAGTTGTTGCTTTTACGTATTACTGTCGTTTCAACAGTTGTTGTAACATGCTCCATCACTGAAAATGGAGGGATCTTTAGTTGCTTACAGTTGGCACTCCTCAATTAGTCACCAAAGGTCATTATATCACTGGATACATTTATAGTACACACACACATACAAAACACATACAGGATCTAAGAAATAGTGCTATTCAAACAAACTGATTGAAATAAAACTGACAGTGTTATTGAGTGAGTGAGTGAAGATTTAGAGTCACATAGGCACTATTTCAGCTATACCGTGACTAAAACAAGTTAAGCATTAATAATAAAATAAAGTTATTCCTTAAAATCTGTCGTTAAAGGACAGTAAAAACAACTAGATATCACAGATGGAGACAAAACTAGCATGTAACTAAAAATTTATACTATAATGCAGAACAATACAATAAGGAAAACGGGGCTATAGATCACAAGCTACCGGAAGGTAGATCACCATACCGGGGACCATGGGGATTTATAGTACTTTTGCTTTCGCTGTGCATGGACCCTAGCCTGATTTCTTACGTCATCCCTAGTGTAGTGAAATCTACCCATAATTGAAAATCACAAAGATACTATTACGTTTAAGTAATAAACAATAATTTTACAATACTCTCAACCCGCTGTGAGGATACAGCCACTCACAGTCTCAGATGTTCATTTGAACCACCAATAATAAAATATTTATTCATTTACAAATCAGTTCTATTTCTCTTTAAATGCAATACTTGAATGATAATTAACATCAAAAGATCCTTCACTGTTTTGACATTAAAATATTTATCAATTGTGATGGAAAAATCAATACAGTATTATTCTTAAATATATTTATCAGACTATCTTTCAAGGAAGCAATGTACGTCACATTTTTTGTCTATCTCTATAACAGCTTTTTCACTTGAAAGACCCTAAACCGATCGCCACTGATTATTTAATATATTTGAGTTGAGTTGAGTTAGCTTTACGTCACTTCGGCATTATTCCAGCCATACAGTGACGAGATCAAGTCTGCATTCATAAGTATTTCAAGCTATAGTTTAAAATGAATTTTTTAAAACATATATGATCATTACACTACCATTTGCTGATCATTAACAATAATTGATAAACATACATCCAATGAAAGAATGTTTATCCAGTTTTTCCCTTTGTTATTTATTTATACAAAATGTTGGTTGTTTAAAGCCGCACTCAGCAGTAATCTTGCTATATGGCGGCGGTCTGTAAATAATCGAGTCTGACCACAATCCAGTGATGAGCATCGATCAGAAAACAAAATGACCCATTGTTTCCACGGTACCTCCCCACCTGGTAAAACTTATGACGAACGTTGCGTGGTTGGAGATTACAGTAAACTGTTCTAATTGGCTGACAAAGATTTTCACCTGCGTTGGCGGTCTTATCACACTCACTATCACCCACCTTGTAGATATAGCTAACACCGACCCGCCACCGTCAGTCATAGGTTTACCCAAGGTTTGCCATGCTCTCCAATAACGTGGTGGAAGGTAAGTTCGAAATTGTGCGTAGGAATATATTCAAAGTGTTAACGTATGTCGTTGTATTCTTTACTGTTCGCGACCCGTGAAGGTCCGGGTTATAATATTGATCTTCAGTAACCCATGCTTGTCGTAAGAGGCGATTACGGAATCGGTGGTCATCGGTTCCTAACAATTGCGCAGATCGATGCCTCATGCTGTTGATCACTGGATTATCTGGTCCAGACTAGATTAATTACTGACCGCCGGCATATAGCTGGAATATTGCTGAGTGCGGCGTAAACTAAACTCACTTACTCACTTTCTGTTCGCCATAAAATAGCCCTTATTGATTATTTCATATAATCGTATGAAAGATAACGTATACACTTTGGTTTTCCTCCTGAACAGTATACCCATGCTGATTCAGAAGACCAAACCGAAACATGAGTCTCATTAACCTATTCAGACAATGACCTACTTTTCAGCCGATCCGAATTTTCTCGTGTGAAAGTGAAAAATAGACATCACAAAACAACTATGGTTACACTGAATTCCAATTCCTGTTTCATAAGAAAATGCTGCTTTACAAGCTTATTTGATTTTAATGTTTAATAACATCGTATTTCTGTATTTTATCGCGAGGCTTAGGCAGCATGACCTTAACTAAGACGTCACAGATTGACCCCGTTTGTTTGAGAGGTCTTAAAAATGATTCATAATTCATCTGGCCTCCAATGGTTACACCTGTTATGTTCTTTTGCGCTAATTCAGTGTAGTTTTGTAACCCACAATGTGATTGATATAATATCGTAAGCCGGTACCAGACCGCTAAACTTTTCTAGAGGCAGAGCCTCGGTTTTAGATTTTCATGATTTCCAGTTTCCTTTTGTCAGAGCACGCTGCACGACGTCATTGCAAGGATTAGAAGGAGCGTAGTGTTGCAATATACAAGCGCTTAGATGTATCAAGCAATACTGATTAATATTTATGTATCCAGTTGCATGAATTTTCTCAAAATTCTGGACTGGTTATTGTACTAAGGTGCGCAATAGGACGGAACCAAGTCAGCAGTAAACGAGGATGTTGTGTAATCAATGTTTTTGACTTGAAATGTAGATTGCAGTTTGCAAACATATTTCTTTGTTGTTACAGTTTTCGTGTTCTGATTTATCTGGTTGATATCTCTGTATCAGGTAAGACAGATATGGCGATAAGTATCACGGCCAAATAATGCATGAAGTGCTCAATAACACCAGAGTTCCCCAGTCAAACATGTAATTTACACGAGGTCATTCTCATTGTTTTTCGTAGGAGTAAGTGAGTGAGTTCAGTTGTACGCCGCACTCAGCAATATTCCAGCTATAAGGCGGCGTCTGTAACAACTGAGTCTGGACCAGACAATCCAGTGATCAACAGCATGCGCATCGATCGGCGCAATTGGGAACCGATGACATGTGTCAACCAAGTCAGCGAGTCTGACCACCCGATCCCGTTAGTCGCCTCTTACGGCAAACATGGGTTACTGAAGATCAATTCTAACTGGATCTTCACAGGTGTCTGTCGTGGGAACATTAACAGTGACAACATTGCTATAACATACGTTCTGCTTCTTGGGGTTATATAAAGTTCCTCTCTAAAAATTTAGCTCCAGCTCTAGTCCAGCGAGACATCTGTGCTGACCCATCTCTTTCTGCAAGGACTTCGAGGGCTGGGGTGTGGCGGCCAGTACGAGGAATGGGCAAGCTATAACTGTGCCAAAACATGTGGATATTGTGACAAGAAAGGTAAGAGTGAGTGAGTATGGTTTTATGCCGATTCCTTTGCAATGTTCCAGCAATATCACGGCAAGGGATATCAGAAATGGGCTTCACACATTGTACCCATGTGGGGAATCGTACCTGGGTTTTCGGCGTGACGAGCGAACGCTTTTAAAGAACCACTAGGCTATCCGCCGCCCCAGAAAATAAAAACATTTTTCCAAAGCTTATAATTACAAAGTTATTGGGTGTAATTTCTTCTTATCAATCTTACTCTTATTCCTAGGATCTTCGTTATTCCGCACTTTCCGCACACTGTAACGCAACCTGTGCCCAGTCAACAATGCGTTGACGAAATCCCCAACCTGTAAGGAATACGGCCAGTCAGTTTGTACCGACAGCCAATACAAAACGTGGGTTCAGGATAACTGTGCTTCCTATTGCAACCTTTGTGGTGAGTATACAGAAATGTCCACCCCATGAGTATATACGACCGGGGGTGGGTGTGCGTGCTTGCCTGCGTGTGTGTTTGATGATGTAGGTGTGTAGGTAGGTTCTCTTTAGCAATACCGGTGACAAATCACCGACGTGTCCATAGTACCAGTGACAAATGACGGTGTGTTTGAGGGATGTAAAGTGTAGGTAGGTTCTCTTTAGCAATACCGGTGACAAATCACCGACGTGTGTGTTTGAGGATGTAGGTGTGTAGGTAGGTTTTCTTTAGCAATACCAGTGACACATCACCGACGTGTGTTTGAGGATGTACGTGTAGGTAGGTTCTCTTTAGCAATACCAGTGACAAATCACCGAGGTGTGTGTGTGTTTGAGGATGTAGGTGTGTAGGTAGGTTCTCTTTAGCAATACCAGTGACAAATCACCGACGTGTGTTTGAGGACGTAGGTAGGTTTTCTTTAGCAATACCAGTGACACATCACCGACGTGTGTGTTTGAGGGTACGTGGTGGTAGGATCTCTTTAGCAATACCAGTGACAAATTACCGACGTGTGTGTTTGAGGATGTAGGTGTAGGTAGGTTTTCTTTAGCAATACCGGTGACAAATTACCGACGTGTGTGTTTGAGGATGTAGGTGTGTAGGTAGGTTCTCTTTAGCAATACCGGTGACAAATTACCGACGTGTGTGTTTGAGGATGTAGGTGTGTAGGTAGGGTTTCTTTAGCAATACCAGTGACAAATTACCGACGTGTGTGTTAAAATACCAGGACAAATGACGTGTATTGTTTGAGGTTAGGTGTGTTAGGGTTCTTTAGCAATACCAGTGACAAATTACCGACGTGTGTGTTTGAGGATGTAGGTGTGTAGGTAGGTTTCTTTAGCAATACCAGTGACAAATCACCGACGTGTGTGTTTGAGGATGTAGGTGTGCAGGTAGGTTTTCTTTAGCAATACCGGTGACAAATTACCGACGTGTGTGTTTGAGGAAGTAGGTGCGTAGGTAGGTTTCTTTAGCAATACCGGTGACAAATTACCGACGTGTGTTTGAGGATGTAGGTGTGTAGGTAAGGTAGGTTTTCTTTAGCAATACCAGTGACAAATCACCGACGTGTGTGTTTGAGGATGTAGGTGTGTAGGTAGGTTCTCTTTAGCAATACCAGTGACAAATTACCGACGTGTGTGTTTGAGGATGTAGGTGTGTAGGTAGGTTTTCTTTAGCAATACCAGTGACAAATCACCGACGTGTGTGTTTGAGGATGTAGGTGTGTAGGTAGGTTTTCTATAGCAATACCAGTGACAAATCACCGACGTGTGTGTTTGAGGATGTAGGTGTGTAGGTAGGTTTTCTATAGCAATACCGGTGACAAATTACCGACGTGTGTTTGAGGATGTAGATGTGTGCAGGTAGGTTTTCTATAGCAATACCAGTGACAAATCACCGACGTGTGTTTGAGGATGAAGGTGTGTAGGTAGGTTTTCTTTAGCAATACCGGTGACAAATCACCGACGTGTGTGTTTGAGGATGTAAGGTGTGTAGGTAGGTTTTCTATAGCAATACCAGTGACAAATCACCGACGTGTGTGTTTGAGGAATGAAGTGTGTAGGTAGGTTTTCTATAGCAATACCGGTGACAAATCACCGACGTGTGTGTTTGAAGGATGTAGAAGGTGTAGGTAGGTTTCTTTAGCAATACTAGTGACAAATCACCGACCTGTGTGGATGACGGTGAGGTATGTAGGTTCTCTTTAGCAATTCTGTAGTGACAAATCACCGACGTGTGTGTTTGAGGATGTAGGTGTGTAGGTAGGATTTCTTTAGCAATACCAGTGACAAATCACCGACGTGTGTGTTTGAGGATGTAGGTGTGTAGGTAGGTTATCTTTAGCAATACCAGTGACAAATCACCCACGTTGGGCTTTCACTTCGGTCTGCAGAGGCGTTGCCTTTAAATAAAAAAGACATTTCTAAAACCCCATCCCTGTTCAACAAATGATATTGAATTTATTCACAGTCAGCATCTTACTCCCAGAACGATAAACTATTTAATACGATAGTTTTACATGCTGTCCTTTCGGTTTCGTATGTTGTATTTCTTTCCATATTTGATTACTTCAAGAAATTCTGACGCCATTTCACTCAGTAACGGTGTCCACATATATAACAAAAGACGAAACGGAGAAAATAGGCCATGGCTTTTATGACATGTGTGTTTAATGAGTGATTAAACATGTTTCTATACATGAATATCTATTGTAGAATAATCAATTGGCAGTATCAAACATTATCATAATTATATAATCATAATTGCAAAATATTATTTTATGGAAGTTTATATCAGGCAGTGTTGAATATTTTGGCCCATTTCAGATGTAGCGCATAGCTGAAAGTTAATAGTGACATGAGCGTAGAAAGAAATGTAAAATTATATACTCATTATATCTTCTGGTATCAGGTGGTCAGGCTCGCTGACTTGGTTGACCCTACATGTCATCGCATCCCAATTGCGTAGATCGATACCCATTACTCGAGTATTCACAGCCCGTCGCCACATAGCTGAAATATTACTGAGTGCAGCGTAAAAACTAAACTCACTCAGTCACGCATTACATCTCCGAACGAGACCTATGACAATTTATCTTCAGCAACCCGTGCTGCTCGTACTAACGGGATCGGGCGGTCCGGCACGATGACTTGGTGGTGATTGTCATCGTATCCAAACTGGGAAGAATCGATGCTCATGATATCAATCACTGGATTGTCTGCTCCTGACCGCCTCATAAAGCAGGAATAATGCCTGGTGTGGCATTAAACAATCAACAAACAAAACATTGAGCGAGGTCGAAGAAGACTATCCTTTCAGGTTGTGATTATCAAAATACAAATGAATACAAATGGTACGACTACGTTATATACACCAATGTAAGCCTCCAATGGCCGCCATTCCCCAGATTCCAACACTTGTAAGGACCAGCGGGACAACTGTGCATCATACGGCAGCTCAGCATGTGGTGGGCACTTCATCAACTGGGCGAAAGACAACTGTGCTAAAACATGTGGTCTCTGTGGTAAGTAAAATGTTAAATTGTATACAGCAGTATCCAGCCTCGATAAATCAAATCTCATTTTCCTCTTGGGTATTACTCTCCGCCGAATTTTGATCGGCGCCAGCTTACATAAGAAATATAAAGACCACAAATGTCGAGTAATACAAAAGCGGAAAATGAGATTTGATTGATCGAGGCGTCTGTAGTTTTACCACAAGACATCCAAACACGATCGGCGTCAGTTTTACATAAGAAATATAAAGACCACAAATGACAAGTATAGTTTTGTGCATTCTTACAGATCTGGTGACTGACTGAGCAAAGATTAGAGCAGTGAGGCATCGGGAATTCCCTGTACATAGCTCTTAGTCGGTACAATAAAACTGCCGTTCATCGAGTGAGGTTGTCATGTCTGTATATGCTTGCAAAAGCATATTGTATTCCAAGCAAAAACTGGAGCAATTATTGAAGGAGCCAAATTATCCATGAGTATTTTCACCTGTCTGTCTTGCAGCTTCTGAAAAGGCAGTCGTCTTTTGATCTTTCTAAGATGGCAAACAGAAACAGTCATATCATTCTGAAATTTAACGCGAGTGAGTTAGTCATACGCCGCTTTTAACAATATTCCAGAAATATCACGGCCCGAAATTTAACGTGAGTGAGTGAGTGAGTTTAGTCATACTCCGCTTTTAGCAATATTCCAGCAATATCACGGCCTGAAATTTAACGTGAGTGAGTGAGTTTAGTCATACTCCGCTTTTAGCAATATTCCAGCAATATCACGGCCTGAAATTTAACGTGAGTTAAGTCATACGCTGCTTTTAGCAATATTCCAGAAATATCACGGCCTTAAATTTAACGTGAGTGAGTGAGTGAGTTTAGTCATACGCCGCTTTTAGCAATATTCCAGCAATATCACGGCCTGAAATGTAACGAAATGTCAGTGTGTCACGTTGTGATGTGAGGCGTTTCATTTGGTGTTTGTTGATTTGTGTGGCGCCAGCCTTCATCATTACACCTCCATCCCCATATGCTCCCTGCTGTAGAGACCGCCTCAGTGGTGTAGTGGTTAGAGCGTCCGCCCGGAGTGCGGAAGGTCGTGGGTTCGATCCCCGACCGCGTCATACCAAAAGACGTTAAAATATGGTACTTGTTGGTCCCTGCCTGGCGCTCGGCATTAATGGGTACAACAAGGACTGGTCGGCTCGGAGTCAGTATCATGTGTCTGAGTGGGGTATTCATGCTTCACTGCGGCATGGTATCTCAGTGGGCTAGCACTATAAGATCAGCTTAAGTCTGGGCTAGTACAAGCAGCCGCACATACACATACACACGCATACACGTCGTCATATGAGCGAAATATTCTCAAGTACGACGTAAAACCCAATTTCACCTCACCTTCACCTCCCTGCTGTAGATACCGTTTTCAAGGATATGACATTAAAATGATTGGCAACTTTGCTTTGCATTTCTCTATGCAACATATCTGCAACACGTAGATGTTGATTTTCGGCGTGTGTGGTCAAAAAGTCACATCGGCAGTATTTCAGCCATATACTGACTAAAAGTACCATCCACGATCATCTGAGGCAAAGAAAAAAGGCTGAAAATGACCTTTCAAAATTGGGTACATCGCAAATGACGCCATTTTGACACATTAGGTAATCGCGATTCACGGCGTTATTTGGTGTATGTTTTGAAATGTAAAAATCGCACAATTACTCGCAGCGCTGAATTTCAAAAATAGCACGTTTGCGAACTCTGATATCTCCTTTGGATCAGATTACCAGTAGTAATTGATTTATAAACGTTGCCGATAAACCTAGAATCGGTTGGAATATTTTGGAAATTACTCAAACTCGAATGCCGAAGTGAGCTTTCCGACATATTGGACAGTGTTTCCAAAATATGTCACAAAAGCTGGTCATGAGACGCCTATTACATCACGTATATTTCACACTCACCTGCATCAGTGATTTCCTCCTACATTGTGTAATAAAATAACAAATTGTCCTTGTCACCAAGTGACTTAGTGTCTAATCAGTCTAAATATAGTTATATAGTTTTAGTGAGTGAGTGAGTGAGTAAGTTAATATTTAAAGTCACATCGGCAGTATTTCAGCCATATCGTGACTAAGAAAGTTGTAAATTTATAAATGAATAAAAATAAAGTTAGATATTATACTTACCTGTGTACAAAGGACAATAAAACAACTAAATTATCACAGAAATAAATTTAAAACTAGTAATTAAATCTAAAATATTTGAACTATGAATACAACATAAAAACAGGCTATATATTGCCAACAACTGAACTTAGATCACCATACTAGGGACCATGACTGCTTGCTTTAAATGTAATCAGAGCCAAAATTTAGATTTCACACAGTGTAGCATTTTCTCAAATGTTTAGACATCCTTATGTATATTCGTTGCATACATTGGCTCAATATTTTCAGAATATGCATGCACTGTAAATAAAACGTTGTCAATTTGACAATTTTAGCGTTGTCATTATTGCTCTGACAATTATGAATTGTGAGTTTGAACATTGAGCGTTGTCAGTATGACAACCCACGTTGTTATTGTGACAATACTGAGAGTCTTATACTGATTGCTTTAAAACAATCATTTATTAGATATGGTATTTAGATAGTGTTGACGATCATGTTTATAGTTTAACCACGCGTTTTACATAAGATATGTGTTGACAATATTATATTGTCAAAGCATTGTCATATTGTGAGTTTTATCAAATTTTGACAATACAAGCTTGTCAAACTTGACGGATTGAGCGCATGCGCAGTTCTAATGTCCTTCACAGCGAAGGTCACAGTAAACGAGGTGCAACAGTCAGGAACGTCAGGAACGTCAAAGGGAACTGGAAAAGTTGTTATAGTAAGTATATGCAAAACACTTTTACAATTTCCTTTCATTAGATAGCTACTGAGCACGAATACAGTGTTTTTGATTCTCGCACTGTCCATATGAACGGAAAATCATGAAGAAATATTTCAACTGGACACCACACAAATTTGTGCACACATTCCGAATAATAACTGGCCATATAGCGTTAGATACAACACAAATCTCTATCGAGTAATAACATTTAGTACTTACGTGTGCTTGAGAATGTCAAAATGTTCAGTTTAATCGCATGAATTTTTCTATCCATTGTCTTCAGGAACCCGGTTGAAATTTGACAACCTTCGTTGTCGCATCGACAACATATTGACAATATATTAGACTTACCTCCCCTAGCTCAGGTCATACAATTAGAGTTACGCCCCTCATGTGTAGTGCATATCCAATTGTGTCACTCAAAGTGGCCATATAGCATTGGATACAACACAAATATCTATCGACTAATAACATTTAGTACTTACGTGTGCTTGAGAATGTCAAAATGGTCAGTTTAATTGCATAGATTTTCTATTTAATTGTTTGCAGGAACCCGCTTTGAACTTGACAAACTTCATTGTCGCATATGATAGAGTTACCTCCCCTAGCTCAGGTCATAACAATTATAGTTAACGTCCATTCAACCCCCCAATCTCATTTAATCACCTTTTTTTTTTATTTTCAACAACACTATCTTGAAAACAAGACAACCAACACAATACATGCATGCAAAACATTAAACATCACTTTTGTCGTTAACACTTCAAATCAAAGGCCTCTCCGGTGTGAATAAACGTTTAATAATTACACAAAAACTTCACTTGGAAATTGGAAATTGGCAAATCAAGTACGAGAAAATTAAAGTACGGATTGACATTTTAAAATGTAATGAAAATAGAATAATTCAGGACTGTTTTAAAAGATGAATGAGAACTACGTGAGTGTTTATGCATGTGTCACTTGTACATTTGTATCAAGGCATTTTACAGACCTACTTTCCCACTATTCAATTCATTCACACGACCCAAGTTTTCAACTGACTTGTGGTATATATGCGTGCCAGGCGACCTTTAAAAGTATCCGAGTTTTGAAGAGGCACATAAAATCAAAACACAACGTCTTTTATAGGAACAATCTATTCAATAAGCTACAAGGAGATTTGGATGATACTGAGCATGAAATACATTTGACTCTCAGAAATGATGCGAATGAGTCGGATCACAACAAACCATTCAAACACAAGATCTAAAGCAATATGTTGCTCTGCAATTACTGCATCTACGTGAAACAAGAAAACTGCAACACTCAGCCTGTCCATTGATTCTTGAATTAGTAGGGAATATACTAGATAGGTTGAGCGAAAGAACATTGACTGAAGTAAACAAGATATTGACAGCTGCACATTGCAATGATTTGTTGTTAAATGAGATGGAACGAACTGTTCTTGGTGAAATGCAATTGTTGGGAAGCATACTTAGTCAATTGAGAGATGAATATAACTTCCAATATCAGGAGCACGTTTTCTTTTGTGAAACCGGTAGAGCACGTAGTTGGTAATTTACCTGACGGAACAACCGATGTTGTTCAGTACATCCCTCTTTTAGAAACAATCAAGTCTCTCCTAGAACATGAAGATGTGTTTTCTCAGGTTATGAGCCAACAACAGTCTCAGGATGGGAAAATGCGTGACCTATGTGACGGTTCAAGATTTAAACAAAATCAGTTATTTGGCAGAATACAAAGAGCAATTCAGATCATGTTGTATTATGATGAGTTTACAGCTGTAAACCCCACTGGTCACAAAGCAAAACACTACAAGTATGGCGCATTCTATTTTGCCATAGGAAATTTGGGTCCAAAACACAGGTCGAAAATACACGTTATGCAGTTAGTATTGCTTGCTCGCTCTAAATCAATCAAAACAAATGGACTGTTCAAAGTCATGCAGCCACTCATACGTGATGTAATGACCTTGGAAACTGAAGGCGTTGTGATAAAAAGAAGTGAAGGTGAATTTCAATTCCATGGTTCAATTGCTGCAATTATTGCTGATAATCTTTGAGCGCACAGCCTCGGTGGATTCATGGAATCTTTTTCGGTCTTCAGAAATTGTCGGTTCTGCATGATCACAATTGCAGGTCACAAAGAACAAGTTAATGGGATCACTGAAGCTGGAGGTTTAGCGAACACATACGGTGTTAAGTCTGACTCGCCCTTGAATGCGTTGCATAACTTCGACATAATTGGTGGTCTGCCACCTGATATCGGCCATGATCTTTTTGAATCTGGAGTTGTGTGCGATGTGCTTGAGAAAATAATTCAGAGCTTCGTGCGACATGGCTTATTTAGCCTTATGTTCTTAAATGAACAAATAGAACAATTCCCCTATGGTTCTAATGATAAGTCAAACAAGCCAACTATCTTGGCAGCACAGTTATGTGACTCAAAGTGAAACAGAATTGCATGCAGATTTGGTTCCTACTGCGGTTGTTTCCCC